TATTGGAATCTGTCTTTTCTCCTAGGCTGCCAGCAACATGAACTCAAGAGTTTTGGCTCTTGCTTTCATTCTTAGATCCTTAGCATGTCGCCTGCAGCAGAGCAAGGGATAAATTACTTTTCATATAAATGATTAAATATACAAATGTATGCTTGATTCACGAACATATGATTGCATGCAGAATGCCTGAATACATATATAGACTTTAGAATCTGTCTACCGTGAGGATACCATTCAATATTCAAATTTCTAAATGACAATGCTTCAACAGCCTAAGAATTATTTTTTTCTGCTTTCTTTCTGGGATTGGGTCAGTGCTATGTGTTCTGGGAGAGTGGGTGTTCTGAGGGCACTCCTCCTTGCTCGGTTCCTATTTTTAGGGTTCTCAGTAAACTCTGGGGAGACAGTCTAAAATCCATGGATGGCCACTAGGGATATAACACGTATCTAATCCAGTCATCTAGGTGATCTAGGGGAACACATGGTTTACGTCACTGGATGTGGAAGAAGCCACCATGATCGTGGACAACCACGGAAGGACTAAGACATACGTGTGCTAAACTTCTATGGCATATGGCTTCTCAGAATAAGGCATGTTGTAACCTATAGGGTGATCAAAGTCAGTGGACATATATTTGTCCTTCGAGCAAAATGGATACTTGTCCCAGAGGGTAATTTCATTCTGATCCATCTTCCCCATCTGGGGAAGATTTGGGTATCTGTATGACAAAATGACTGAAGGTGGTGGCCAGAAGTCCAGGAGGACTCTTGACAAGGTCAGAAACTAGAGGGACTAGAGATCAGTGAAGATCAGGACACAGAAAGGGATGGGGCCAAAGTCCATCTGAGAGACCAGACAGAGAAAAAACTACAGCAATCAGCTGAATATGGAATTCAGAGCATGAGAAAATAGAGAGATTCAGAGAAGGTTCTAGTGAGACCTGGGTAGAAACGATTTTATACAAGTGTTTAAAATCAGTTAGAAAAGTCTCTCATTTAATACATGTTCTACATTTTTCTTACCCAAACTGAAAATAACCCATTTAAATAGAGCAATTGGTTTTATTTGATGGCTATGGTGCATTATTTCAACAATGATCTATCTCATTTTTAAACAGCCCAACTGAATTAAAGACGGCATTGTTTTCAGTGATTTTCGTGAACTACTCCCACGGGAAGCAAGCCAGGCTCCTCAGACCCCAGCCCGTACCCAAGTTCCTACAGCTTCCTGGCAGCAGCATGCCCGCATTAAATATCATTAGGCAACGTAGGGAGTGTTAGCCCTGCAAAACCAGCCTTGTCAAGTGGAACGAGCATGACAGAGAAATAAACTCTCTATTTGTGATAGAAAAATAGCACAGACCAGACTCTGGGCGCAGGTAGGTCTCATGCTTCATGGTAGGTAACCTAAACAATCACAAGACCTCTTGGTCATGGATTTGATGACACAGGCAGGCAACAGCAAACGCCATGTGTAATTGAAGCGGCCGCAGTAAGAGAACTCAGCTTAGCAGCCGTAAAAACAACAAAGAATAAAGGAAAATTTCCTGTTAGCTTGTCTTTGCTTGCTTTACTATACATAGAGAGATGATTAGCATGCTTCTAAAATGTTTTGTCTACTGGAAACCTATGCAATAAAGTGTGTATAGCATATGTAAAAATAGATACCATACATACATATGTATACAAATAAATACATTTCTATGTGTGTGTGGCGGGGGGGGGGGGGGGGCGGAGCTGTATGTACAGAGTCTTTCTGACATAACTTGCAAGCAACAATGTTGATCAGTGTTAACACTGTTTATCTCTGGGGAGTGGGACTTGGGTCTCTATAGGAGCACAGAGGAAACCTTGACCTTGCCCATGATTCTCATCTGTGCTATTAGAACTTTTTTTTTTCCTATAAAAAGCATGTTCTACCTTTAGGATTAAAAAATCTATATATTTGAAATAAAATTGACATGTAAAAAAAATAAAACTGCTGCCCCACATTATTATAAAACCTGGATATTATGAGAAGTCTAGGAAATGAATGTCAGAAATCCTTTAGGCAAAGAAATGGTTACAAGGTCCAAATGCAAACTGCTTGTATCTCCCGATGCCAACACGTCCGCTTACGTGCTAAGGCCAGCCACCATGATGGGCTAGGGAGCCAGGGCTTGTGTGGGGGTTTTCCATCAGCAGTCACTAAGGTCATGGCCATGCAGCTGCCAGCTAATTTCTCTTCTTCAGAAGTTGCATGGGTTTTAGGTTATAGCCTCCATAAAGGGAACCAGAACTCTCAAAGTGAAATTTGTGGCCATGGTGTTTATTTCCTTCTTGGCTTCTTTTGTTGTGGCTGTTGTTTGTTTTGTTTTCTATCAGTCCTTGAATGTGATAAAGTACAGCTTCACTGGGGGAGGCTGGGTTCTAAACCAGGTTCTATTCCATTAAATGTGTACTTCTGGAATATGTGGTTCTGAAAATAACGACCTGAAGGTTCTCTCCTGTTGTCTTGAATTAACTTTCCATTTCTCATACTCCTCCCTATCAACCGAAACCCACAAATGGAAGCCCCGAGCAGACAGCATCAGCCCACAAAGGGCTCTTCAGAGCCAAGCACAGAGGACGACAGGCCGCTAAGCCAGCCACGCTCCAGCACTGTCCTGAGAGGGTTTGTGGAAAATGGTATTCCTATAAGTATACAGTTTTATGTCCTTTAAATGTTTGTGGGTTTCCAGATACAGACCAGGGCCAGACCATTGGTTTCTGCCCTTTCTGATGGCCCACTAAAGGGGATACTATATGCTTGAGCTGAGCTGGAAACTCCTGGAGCATATGGCCCCAGCTCCTTCTGAAGGCCAGGACTTTAAAAATGCTACAGGAGGTAGGTTTAATATTGAATCCATTAACTATGTAACCGTTCTGTTCATTTTTGATGTTCTTTTGTTGGAAAACCCAAGTCCTGAGGGTCTTTGCTTTTTCAAAAAGATATTTGCCTTGGCTGTACATAGTTTCCCATCCATAATACAGAACTCTTTTGTGGGGGGGAGCTTGGAGTGATTTCCAAATGTATAAGAACCCCTACAGTAGTCATTACTTTATCTATTTTCATACCAGGAATTTATTGTGACTTCAGTTGGACCTATTTAAACTGGCCTGTAGCCATCTATACCCTAAATTCTCTCTGGGCTGCTTTGAAACATCACAAAGAAGTAGGAGATGGTAGTTGGTGAAAATAGCCCTTCATCCCAGAGATGGCATCTGGGTAACCAACTGTGTGGCCAACTATTTGGCTCAATCTAGGGAATGGAAGGCACCATTCAAAGCCAGATGCCAGTCTGTTTCAAGGACTATATTTCTGTCATCACCACCTCTCTTTGACAGTCCTACCAACTGAAAAACTCCCAGATGAAGCCCAGGGATTAAATTCTCCTGGAGTCTATTTTTTTCCAGTTTCTGGAAACAATCTACTGCCATCCTCCTTACCTCACCATAAAACCCAACAGATAATTCCATCTCAAAGACTGATAGATGGAAATTACTCATAACCAACCTATGCTTCCACAGCTAGAAATAACACCAATAATTTGATTTTGAAACAGCTAAAGAGATCCTTTATCCCCATCCCCAGAGAAGCTATTCCTCCTTAATACAGTTTTCCTATCTGTTCTCTCAAAATGATATGTGACCAAAATGCGATTCAGGTAAGCAACGTGTCACCACTGGACCTTTAAAGTGAATGTGGAAATAGAATCATTTATATGTTCACATGCAGAGACGCTAGGGAAGCACTTTGCTTGTGTCTAAGAACAAAATGGAAGAAAGCTCAGAAGACATCAGCTTTAGTCTGAAACCCTGGATCACCCACTTTCATTTCTGACTTCTGCCCAAGTCAAGAAGACATCTTCACTGAAAGTTAGGAGCCCTTTCCTCCTACTCTTGTAGTTATCACAGAGTCTCTACTAGAGGGACCTGTAAGTACCAAGTGATCTGTGGTGGGATTCAAAGTTGTAATTCCAACGCCAGAAGACACATTTCTGGTTAGGGCTCCCACAGTGGGTTTCTACTAAGAATTTCCTGGTAGGGGGAAACAGAGAAAAGAATAAATTAGACTACCCCGTATGTAAGAAATGGGGTTGCAGTGCCATCAGGCATGTCCTTGGGACCTGACAAGTAAAAGGTGAAGCGTCCATTGGGAAGACCCAGCCATCCTGGAAATCCGGCAGTGGAACTCATAAAACAAGGCTTTGTCCTTGGGATAAGGCTTACTCGGGGTAATGAAAACCAAACACTTAGAAGGAAAACCTAAAATGGGACCCCTCTCACCACTACACCCAAGAGTCTCTACTTATTAGCCTCCGTGCAACACGCCAGTGACTGTGTTCTTGCTTAAGTGAGTTATTTTGACATATGTTGCTACTTTTGCATTGGCTGTTTTATTTCAAGTCAATTAGCCTGCTTTCTATTATCACTCGAGAAAGTCTAGAAGCAAACGCTGTCACAGTGCTCCATTTCCTGTAACCACAGTCCCCACACATGGTTTTCTGCTCAGCAACTTCAACAGCACTTAAAATCCAGTGATTCCGCCAAACCAGCCGTGGGCCTTCATTTAATCCTTTGCTCGTCTCTATCACAGCAAAAGGCAAAGATGGCTACACGTAGGCAGTAGGGGGTTGTGCAAACAGCCCAAGCTGAACCAGTCCTTTGTGGCTATCAGCAACAGCCCCGCAGCCAGGGCCGGCCCCTGGGTTCCCTCCCATGCCACCTCACCATACCTCAGAGATATAGCACACACGTTGACATTATCCATGTGGCACGTCCCAGCTCCTACAGAATGACAAGGGATGAGGGAGGGAGGGGAGACATGCAAAGAGTCACTAATAGTCTTGGTATATTTCGTCTTGGAAACGGGAGCAGCTTTACAGTTGCGTTTTTGCAGGACATCCGGAGGGCTTTCAGAGACCTCCAGAGTGTCTTGTGGTCTTCAGAGACTGAGTGTAAAGACAGCAGATCATATTTTTTTTTTTTTTTTGGAATGGTGGGTAGTTGCAGTAGAATTGTGTGGTACAGAGGAATCGTGAATGCATGGGGGAGGAGGGAGCGGTGCCATTTGTACGAACATCCTGTGAATCTCGAAAATAAATTATACAGGTGAACACAGCAGTTCATGCTACTTGCTGGAAGCAATAAGGATCAAATTTTGTGGAATATGTATTCCACAAATCTCCAGGTATCCTGCCTCTTCCTCAGCGGGCTATCGTGTTCTGTTGTATGTCTGGTAGCCCTTAACAACTGGTGGCATGGTCTCAGATAGATTCTTACAGAGAAAGACATCTTTGTGGATTCCAACAGCTTCTTCCAGGGGAGCTGCCCAATTGCCGGGAGGGCACAGGTGATACACTTGCTCAGGTTCTCTTTGCGATCTACCAGCGTCAAACAGCAGTTTCCAGGTCCTCATGGCCAATGATCTTATAGTTCTGGCGGCTTTCTAGGTAAGCAGCCAAGTCTGGGTCTCCAGCCTGCTGGGCTCTGTCTTGAGGTGTCTTACCCTAAAGGTGACAATGGGAAGGAAAGAGACATAAATACTTACAATGAGATTTTTTTTTTTAATCAAAGAGGTATTCAAAGTTTACTCACTAAAGGATTTTTTCCATGCTTATGGTTTTAAAGTTGACAAGACACTTTCAAATCTATTGCCACATTAAACACATGAGGTAGGTAAGTTCGAGAGAAAGGCAAGATCATTTGACAGGTGGGGCTTACATCTGAGGAAAGTGGGGTTCAGAGAAACTGAGTCCACAGCAGGAAATGGTGTGGCACCCTGAGTCTGGGAACCCCAATTCTTTCTGGGAGAAGGGCAAGAGAAATCACTGAACAGAAAAGTAGGAAGTAGGCATTTGGACTTCCGACGCCAGACGCTTCCATGATGCTAAACCCTGGGAAGCAGCAAGCAGACAATGAGGACCGGATCCTTGTAAATGATCTAAAAATGTTTCTTCGCTGGTTTCAAAGTCTTCAGTTAAGTTTTCCCAATTCAGAATATCTCATCTCTCCAAAAAGAGAGTCAATTTTGGACTATAAAAGTGATAAATGTTGATTAAATAAACTTGGAAAAGCACAAAATTGTGAGGAAGAAAATAAAAATCACCATTAATTCCTATACTACACTAAGATAACTAACTGCCGTTAACCTTCCACAGAGTAGCCAATTTGTCTTTTTCTATGGCTCTACACAGAAAATTTTTATAAACAGAAAACCATACTATGGGATACCTGGGTGGCTCAATCAGTTAAACCTCTGTCTCTTGATTTCAGCTCAGGTCATGATCTCAGAGCTCTGAGATCAAGCCCCGTGTTGGGCTCCATGCTGAGTGCAGAGTCTGCTTAAGATTCTCTCTTTTCTTCTCCCTCTGCCCCTCCCCCCTAGCACTTTTTCTCTCAAAAAAAAAAAAAAAAAAAAAGTTAAAAAAAACCCCATACTCTGTTTACATCCTATTATATAACATACTTTTTTCACTTTATTAAGTGGATTTGATATATTTATCAAAAATTTATGTCATGCAATGTTCTTCTACATCATCTTAAATGATTGTATCATTTCTTGCAGCCTACTCTAATGCCGTATGTATATTTATACACACACATGATATTTCTGGAAGGAGGTCAACAGATAGAATTCAGTAGTAGAAGGAAGGAAGGTCTCCATTCTTTTGCATGCATATAGATATTACCGAACACTCCCTGAATCTTCTAATTTTTGTTCAGTGATATGCTTTATCTATTTAAAAAGTGATATTAAATTCAAAAAGATGGAGGCATGGTCATTGTACCGAAGAAACAGCTCCATGTATAAGTGCACACGAGTATTACAAAAATTACTGCAGGCTGCTCAGCCTTCATCTGAGTCACTACAATGGCGAGTGTCAAGCTCAATTAAGCCTGTTCCCTGTAGCTTACAAGGGTAAGTGGGTAAAGGATAAAAGGAAAGTAACGGTGGCTCTGGATTCTTTCTAAAATTTTACTTATTTATCTGGCATTTAATATTGAACTGCTAGCTTAAAGTTCCTACAGTAAGTTTTTCCATCTTGCTTACAGTATTAATAGACTATCTGGTCTTCAATATTAATGAAGTTGGAATTACTAGCTTCCAAGTATTCAGAGAGGTGAACCGAGGTGGCCCTTGAGTTGGTTTTTAAAGGAACTGTTCCGCATCAAGGGAAATTCTTAAGACATTGCTTCTCTCCAAAAAGAAAAAAAAAAATCTAGGAAAAGATCCAGTCATAATTATCATGTTCTGCTTAACTTAGCATAAAATTACAAAATGGAAAAATTAACAGATCTCCCGAAAGGATGAAGCATAGACTATTTCATATGGTAAGACTTCTAGAACACAACGTTGGGGGACATAAGCATTCTACAATAGCATGAAAAACCAGTAGGACTTCACTGACTTAAAAAAAAATGAGAGAGAAAAACAGGCATACCTACATGTGAAGAGAGATCATTAAAATTTTAATAGTACATAGGTCGTAGAGTGTGAGATTTCTCATGATTTTAATCTTTTTAGATATTCTTTGCATTGCTAGAGTTTTCTACATAAGAATGCACTATATTTATAATCATAAAAATAAGGAAGCGGTGTTTTGGAAAAAAGCACACACACACTCAACAAAAGAGAACACAATCTCAAGGAATGTGGAACCCATTTATCTGATTCGGAAACTTAGAAAGATAAACAAGGCGAGTCTGCTCAGGGGCCTGGTGTCCCGCCCAGTCTTTTGTGTCTTTCCCATTGCTTCTCTTTTCCTTTGATTTTCTGAGGTAAGAGCAGTCCTTTGCATGGTTAAGTAGGCAACTGCCGCCCTGTACAGTGAGTTGGCCCAGACAAGCCAAACCTACCCAAAACCGAGGCCTCCCCGATCCTGCCTAGAGGGTTGGTGTTTCTCCATCGGGTTACATGACGAAGAGTTTAAGGGCAAATATCATCTGAGAAGAATATCCCACGGAGCCCTTAGCTGCTCCTCGGTTTCAAATGACCCTACACCCACTTAGCTAACCACACAGGTAACAGACACAGCTTAGCATGTCCAACAGCCCTAGCGAGGAACCCAAGCAGCCAGGGACCTCCCTTGGAGAGCAGGGATCTGGTGGGCTGCAGGGAGCGTGGAGAATCAGGCAGTGCTGCTGGCTCAGAACTGGGTTCGAAGGAAAAGAGGTCCACGCAGGAGACAAAGTTATTTTATGGCGTTCACTGCAGTTGTAGGACACCCCGGGGGAAAATGGACCAAAGCAGGTGCTCGTCGCTTCAAGAGGTCTCATGGGGCTCAAGTCCTATAAGGAACAGGTCTGTGTTCCTTGGCTACATTCATCGGCTCCAAACTTAGGTTATGTACTGCCTTAGCTTAATGAAACCCTCATCTTTATGTTAAAATTCTTCTCTGCAACTCTCTACAGTTAAATGGTTTGTCCTTTCTTCGCGTCTACCCAGGATGGTTTCTCAGAGCTGCTCGGGCTCCTCTGCGGTACCGATGTTCTGTATTAACCGTCCCCCCGCCCCACCCTGTCTCTTCTCCTGGGCTACAGTCCCGGGGCTGCACCACTGAGCTCTACCTCTTCCTCTGCTCCAGCTTCCAGGCCTTTCCTTGGTGCTTTCTGTAAAAGAACGACTCCTGGTGCAGCCTGATCTCAGGTCTCCTGAGTGGAGTTTCTCCCGACACCTGACCTCTACCTGTGGGCATCTTTCCCCTGAAGGTCGGCATGTAGGTCACGCTATCAGTTTCTGGCCTCACTGCCCTCAAGATATGAACACAATTTAAATCCAGACTGACATGGCTTTTGCTGCAGGGAAACCAACCATGCTTCAGGTCCCGATGCCAGAGGACCACCGTAAGGCAAAGACATTACACAAACCATGGGAGAAAACCCCACTTTATTACTTTGTCGCCTCCTCCATCCCATTGGATCCGGGGAGTCTTCTGTCCCCACGTGAGAATGACTCATCTGCTGGGCTAGGGCTCAAAAGAGCCGAGTTTGGCTTCAGGCTCAGCTCCTGGTCTCAGGGCACAGAGCTCTCTCTTGGTTTCAGTTTCCACATGGATGAAATTCCCACCCTAACTTCAGGGGTTAACTTTTAGGGGAAAATATATGAAAATAAGTAGGAAGAAACTTTTAAAAATAAAAAGCCAACATAAAGGCACTAGATTTAAGGCAGTAACCCTCTCTCCGGCTGACCATCCTGACAGAGACAGCTAATGACCTGGGCACCCAGACGCGGGGCCACAGAAATCACAGACTGGAAGCTACTCTAGATAAAGTCGCTGAAGGAGAAATTCCAAAGCAGGCTGATGTCTTCTACCCCTCTCCCAGGGCTTTGAACCTCACCTCCCCGCAACTTGGCTGCTGGCCAGGGGCAGGACAACCCCAAAGTCCCAAGGCCAGCACATTCAGAGGTTTATAAAGTCCCATAGGCAAGCACACACCCTTCCCTTTGTGCTTATATATTTAAACTACAGTTTCTCTAAATGAAGCACTTTATTTTTTCCTCCTTTTTTCCAAAGCCCCAGGCACTTCCATTAGCACAGAAAGGATGCCTTTGCTGTGGGCACAAGTGAAGGCGATGGGGCCAGCGATCGTGCCCGGCGGGAGGATGTTTGCCCTCACTCCTCAAGTTACCTTGGAGTCCGTCTTTCTCAGAGATGCTCCCGCGTCCACCAGAAGCTGGCACACAGCCCGGTTCCGCTGGCAGGCAGCCTTGTGCAGTGCGGTCTCACCCCTAAATCAAAGATGAAATGGGAAACTACCCATAAAGGGGTTGGGGGCGGGGGTGGGAGTGGGGGTGGAGGCGGCAGGGAGGGGGTGACGGTAGCTTCCTATCCCTGCTGCTGGGGTTCTGTGCTCGTCCGCCTCCTTCCCTATTCGCAGCGGAGACCAGGGGCTGGGCGCCTTCGGGGGAGGTGGGTGAGGGGGTGTCTAAAAATGCCTTCAGTCATCAACGAACCATAATTATCTGACACCAGTCGCTTGTCTCCACAGTGTTAACTAGGCTGAGTGATTTTGTTTTCAACCACTAGCGTTGGATTTAGGTAACACCCAGTGGCACTGCTGAACACACTGATGCGGGAGATGGGAGATGGGGCCTAGCCCCATGAAACAATGTCCTCTGTGGATACGTTCAGGCAGAACATAGGGGCACCAGATCAGGGACATATGGGGCAGGCATGGGAGACCAGAGGCCTTTCCAGCAGCTCAACGCAGGGCTTGGCAGACCATCATCTGGCCCTCAGTGGAGTGTCTCTGGGGGACTTGGCGTGGAAGGACCAGGTCAACACAAGCCACCCAACCTACTGATGCCATGTGAATGGCAGGTGGGAGGGCATGGGCCACCACAGAGGACGTCTGGGAGAGCTGGGAACATGAGCTCTCCCCTGTTGGCCGTAGGCCCCTCAGTATAGGAAGATGGCAAAGCTAAGTAGCCATTTCCACCCCCTCTATGGGGCAGTCCAGGGAGGAGGAGATTTCCATTCTGAGTCCAATACTGAAAAGATGTTTAAGGCCAAAGCGTATGGAAAATCAAATGCAGTCCTTAGAACAAATGCATAAGTGATAACCTTGCCAATAGGTTGGGGTGTGTGGACAAAGTCTCTGTCACAACGGACGATGTCTTCCCTTTCTAGTCAGTCATAACCATAGAAGACTATTCTTCCCACTCAGCTTCCATCCTACTCTTTTCTCCTTTTCCTCCTCCAGACCTACTGAGCTCCTCCCCACCCATTTTTATCTATTTTCAAATGTCTTTGAAGTTTTATAGTGTTTTCTATATGGCTTTTAGGGTGAGACAGTTAGCCTTTCTTTGTTCCTACTTGGGAAGGAGGAGCTATTTTGCTTCCCTAGGAATAAAAAAAGTTGAAAACAAACATCATGAGTTTGAGGACCACCCCAGAGAGGATGATCTTCTCAACGAGAGTTTCTCATCTGAACCACAGAACATAAAAATGGTTGGAATGACTATATTCTAATTCTCCAATGGTTGCATACACCTTGTTGCATTCCAGACCCGGTATAGGTTTCACTACAAAGCACGCCGTAGGGTATTAGGACATAATTTTTTCACAAACCCCAGCTGAGAAAGAGTAAATTAAAAAGGTAAATGTATTGGGGCACCTGGGTGGCTCAGTGGGTTAAAGCCTCTGCCTTTGGCTCAGGTCATGATCCCAGGGTCCTGGGATCGAGCCCCACATTGGGCTCTCTGCTCAGTGGGAAGCCTGCTTCCCTCTCTCTCTCTCTGCCTGCCTCTCTGCCTGCCTCTCTGCCTACTTGTGATCTCTGTCTGTCAAATAAATAAATAAAATCTTAGAAGAAAAAAAAAAGGTAAATGTATTTATTTAGACTTCTCAGTAGTCTATGATGCACCGTGCAAAACTACCTTGCCCATAGGAAGCTCTAAATGATGAACAGCAATGACTGTGCATGCAATCGTTATGATTCTTGTTATCAATTTTTATTGTGTAATTCTTGATTTAGAAGATTAGCCCTGCATGGTTATAAATACAATGGAAAGTGAACTTCTTACCACTGACATTTAAATTATCTGTTGTAGGCTCTATAGACTACCTTCTTCTCTAAATACTCTCTGAAGAAAATAATCTAGACTATGTAATAAAGGCAACACTCACGTTTCGCTGTCTGCCATATCCAATAACTCAGAAGGTCCTAAAGAAGAGGAAAGGAAGACGCCATCAAAAATAAATTCAGAAACTAACCATTAACAAAAAAATCTATAGTCACAGAATTAAAACACCTTGTAAAGGTGAATGAAGTACAGTCACTTGGTGGAAGGGATAATAAGACCACCTCCCCCGCTCCACCCCCTGAAAAGACAGGCTTTCTCTATTCCCACTCACCAACTTCCCAACTGCCACCGACCAATATGCATGGGATGATACAGGCTGTGCTTTTAAAACAGCTTTCAATCAGGTTGAAGAAATAAAATCCATCAGAATAGAATAAGTGAGAAATAACTAAGTGGTTACCTTGGGAGAACAGGGACACTTTGGTAGGCTTAAGGATTATCATTCCCCAGCAGCAGATTGTTTGAGATGGGCTTTTATACAGTATGATTTTAAAGCTACAAGATACCACAGATATCATTCAGTCCAATATCTATCTTCTAGAAACAGAGTATAATTATATTTTTCATAAAATTTCCCTTCAAAGACCTAGAAGAAATGTTATAAACACCAAATGGTTATAGATGCTTCCTTAGGAACGGAAATGTCCAGTGGGTGTGTGCACTGATGATATTCTATTTGTTCAACAATTAAATCATTCAATCTGCCAACAATGCTTGGAATGACCACCTCTCTACCTTCTGCACCACTGCTGCCCTCCCCAGCCCTCCTGTACTCTAATCAGTCTGCGGTATTAGCTGAGACACATTTCCCATAAAGCCCTCTACAACTCCCACTCTGAATACTGCATTAAATGTTCAGCCTATGTGCCCCCTCACTTTGGACACTAACCCTTGTCCTATAATTGGGAGGATAACATAATTCATCATCCAAATTGAGACTGTCCTAGACGGGTAGGGCTATGTAATTAGCGATCATGACATTTAAACTGTAATAAAACCACCTGCTGATTTGTCTCTTTCCACAACTAGACTCCGGTAAAACCCTTTGTAAGCTGCGGCCTATGCCTTGTTTACCACTACGTCCTGCCTCAGTGCCTGGCATGGAGCCTGGGACCAAGCAGATGCTTACATGTTTGTTTGGATTAATGAATAAATGGGCTTGGATGTGCCGAACGCAGTTCTAGGTATTGAGCATTCTAGTCTTTAGAAATACGATCCTGTTGATTTGCTGTCTGTCTTGTCGGGTATCATTATCACTGGAAATGTGCTTATGTGATTACTTATTACATAAAAAGAAGAAAGGGAAGAGGTTAGGACTTTCCAACCATGGAAAGTCACTGGCCAAGAAGATGACCGAGTTGCTGTGGGACCTTCACAATCCTCCCGGTCATCCAAGAAGCTGCCTCTTCTTTCACATCTACTGGCCATCTAGGCCACGTGACTCTTCCCTTATACCCTCTGCCCTATTTGCCTCTTCCCTTTGTCCTTTTTGACAAATTAGGCTTCTTAATTGGTCTCTGCCTGGAGCATAATTAGCATACCGAAACAGTTACTAAGAAAAATGAAAATCTCTCTTTTCATTCGGATTTCCAGGTTTCCAATTCAGCGTACTGACTGCTCACTCCCAAGTGTTCAACGGTGAAAGTCAGCAGTCTTTCACCTGGAACCACCCTTCCTCAATTTGCTCCAGGTCCCATTTTTTTATATCAATTCAACGGGTAACTGTGCCATCACCAGCCTGTCTCTCGGGCTCTCCCAGCTCACAGAGCTTATTCCCTCCACTCTCCTGATCCAGAACAACCTTCTCTTTTCTAGCCACATACCTAGATGTCACCCGTCCTGTGAAGCCCAGTCTGTGACAAGGCCTTCTGCAGAGACCAGCTTTGACAGAAAGACTCTCTCCCTTCTCTGCACTCCCGTGACACGGACTTGGTTCCACCCTTGTATTATGTGTTTGCTTTTCAGGCCTATACCTCTCTCCCTAAATGAATTATACCAAATCCCTGCCGTGTAAGAATATTGGGTATTTTTCATTTATTATTTTTCCAGCACCCATCCTACATTAAGGATTTAGCAAAGACTTAACTTGTTTATTTTTCTTCCTCAGTCTTGTGGTTCTAAGGAAGCATGAATGATAATACCCACAACAAACACCCACGGAAGGGCAAGGCAGTACAGTGTGGCGATGGGTACCAGAGCTGAATCTCCTTGCTTCCAAATTCGGGTTCTACCTGGCACTTACTGGATCTCGGGCAAGTTCATTTACTCTTAGTCTCTCAATGGCCAAGGACGATAAAGAAGCATTGATAGTATTTATCAGGATTGTTGTGAGGTTTCTTAAGTTAATATAAGCCATATGCTTAAAATGGGAGCTGGGCTGCTGCATGCCATGCCTGAAGTTTGGATCTGAAGTGTCCTACTCTCCGCCGTAAGCAGATTCCACCAAGCTGAGATGCGGAGCATCCGTGGAGGGAGGGAGGGTCCTGGGCTCTGCATTTATCTCCGCTGACTTTTGAAGGTACTTGTTGACTCAGATTTCATGTCCTGAGAACCAGTTCTCCAGACCCCCTCAACTGGCTGGCGGGGATTTCTCCACAAGGTCAAGAACAAGAGTGCTGACAGTGTCCAGCGGTCCTCACAGAGGCTGCCGGCCACCCTGAGGGAACCTCTGGAGCCATTTCTTTGGAAAGCAGTTCCGTGAACAGGAGCAACCCAGCCCCACTGCACTCGCAGCAGCTCTACTGCGCCAATCCCTGTGAGCGCAAGCCTGTTCAGGCACCAGAGGCCGCACCTTCCTCCCCTACAGCCCTCAGAGCCGCACCCATGGCTCCAGGGTCCATACCACCCTGTCAGGGAGAGGCTGCAGGCCCAGCTAAATCTGTGCTAAAACATCATCGTTGGACACTCTGGAAGTGGGGACGAGGAAGAGAAGGGACCTTGTTTCCCGAGTGTTTTCCGAGAATCCCCACAAACGCAGCCAACCCAGAATCATGAGAGACTGATTCTCCAGTCTGTGAGCCCCGCATGCCTGTAGCTGCGTCTCACTTTCCCCTTCTCGTCTTTTAGTCCTTGAAGGCTGACAGAGGTGAGAGGAAGCGGTGCTGCTCCTAAAATGAGATACTCTTTCTCTTAATTAAAACCTAACAAAACTCCAATTATAGGTTTCGTGAGTGGAATGGGCTCTGGGGTGATGGACTTAATTAACCCAAAGTTTCCTCCTCTTCCTGTCAATCTATGTAATCACAAGAGAGCAGAACGTTTTGAACATTGTCGGGCAAATCGCCCATGCAGGGGCAACGTTGGCAGTGAACCGATGACAGGCGGGGGTCCGGAGCTGCTTTTAATAGCACGGACGCATCTTCTAATAATTTTTCAACCTGCTTGAAAATAACTGTTTGCATAATGCCGGTGAGAGGGGGTTTCTGAGGAGGAAATGAGAAGAGGCTTAACTAAGTGCCAGGTGCCGCCCAAGAACAGGCTGGAGCTTCCCTTCCTGTATGTGACCTGCTGGGAGCTCCTTCCGTCGCTTTTTGTGCTGTTTAGTAGTGCCCCATGCGGGTGAGTAGCCTTGATTCTTGAATCTTCTGATTTGGCCAGAGACACCCAAAAGAATCCACACAGCCCTCACAAAGTCTCTTTAAAGTCTCTTTAAAGGAAAAAGTATTTCCAAAAAAATAGCATCTAGGATTTTTGGAAAGTTAATTTGAGTCCCGCTCATAAGGGAGAGCCCAAGAGAAAGAAAAGAGGATGGATTTCTTCCAATTTCTATCCATGCTGAATATGCGGCTGCAGGGCTTATTGTATATTTTAGGTGTGCATATGGTCTGGTTGTGGATATCATGCCATCTCCCTTAGGGAACTGGAAGAAATTCCACGACACTGTGAGCTGCGAGCTCACGTGTATTCCCTGAATGTAAAAGGACGTCTTGGTTCTCCATCCCTCCTAGGGTTTACTACAATGTCCACACTCAGCCCTGCACCTGACCTACACCAGAAAACAATGGTCCAGTCCCAATCGAAGGGACACGTGTGCACGTTTCTCCATGAAACTTTCAGAGGCAGACGATCGATCGCACCCCTCCACAGCACTGCACCAGTTGTCACGGGAACCCTGCATGTAATACTTCTATCGATCTACCCTCCCCAGGTTTTGGAACTATGGAGGGCAGAGACCATATACTACATATGGGTCTTGGCAAGTAACCTAACATCACTGTGCTTCAGCTGTCACCCCCTGCCAGATGGAGATAAGAGAGTTCACAACGGAGGATTGTTTTAAGAATTAAATGTGTTAACGCATACAAAGCAATTTGAACCCTAAGAGTTAGCAGTGGCTATCGCTGTAATATTTTTTCTCAAAAGTTCACGAGGGCAGAATTGACTTCTTTTAATGAATGAATGAAAACATTTAAAAATCAATGTGGATCCCAGCCAGCATCCTAGATTTTCTCAAAGAAAGATCCACAAATGTAACATGGATTCCAAAGACTGTGCTATATAGGAAACAGTCTGAAAAATAAGGGGGGTAATGTACTAAGAGAAGAGATACATCAGTATTCGGGGGAAAGCAAGGGAATGCAAAAGGAAGCCAGACTTCACCAATCTCCCAACACGAGAAATGGAACGACGAGGTTAGGCAGTCAAGCTTTCCAAACTACAAGTGTGCTGGCCGGTGCTCATTCCACTGGTTCTCCCACTGGACGCCCCAGCTCTTGCTGGAGCAACCCTGTCTTCAACACTGTCCCTGTATTCTATAGGATATGTCTTTCGTCACGTGCATCCTTTAGTTTGCTTCCCACACCAAGGCATCCAAATCCCCTTTGCTATTCCTTCCACCTCTCCATGGCCTCTCTGTCCCCGGACTCATTTCCCATTAGTCTCCCTGACGCTGCCAGCAGACCATTCCAAATCCTCCTCTGCCCCAGGACAAAAGCCGCACAGATGTGGGGAGAGCTGGCACTGGGAATTCTAACAGCACCATCATCCTGTCCCAGCGGGATGGTGGTCGTTTCTCTCGGGGACCAGAGGCCGAAAAAGGGGGGTAAAGAAAAAAAAAAAGAAAGACTAGAGACAGAAAATG